CTTAATTAATTTTCATGTTTAGCACAAAAAAAACCCCCATAAACGAACATAATAGAAAAGACAGTCGACTAACATCACTCTTTGGCTAAAACGACAAATTACGAACAAATATGAGTTTAATGAACACAAATGACTAGACAAAAAAAAATAATCGATAAGACTGTTTTCTTTTTCTGTACTTATTCTTTAAATCTCAATGGCCATTCTTTGACATATATTGGAGATCGTATTATTCCATCGAGTAACAATGAAAGAAAATCAGAAAATGAATTATCTGAAGATGAACTTGAAGATGAAGAAGAAGATGTACGCGTTTTCTCATTATTATCAAAACCTAAAAATGCAGTTTGAGTCTCATCAGTATCATCGTCTGTTAATGAATTTCTGTGTTTTATTGTTTGAAACGAAAGATATGGTACAAAATAGCGTCGACGTAGATATAATGCAATCACAGTTGATTGAGCAAATGTCATTAGATTGCGATAATTACTATCTTCAATATTTTCTCGTAATAGATCAAGCCAAATAGGCGAATGAGATCGATAAAGAATGGTGTAGACTAATCGCGAGCTAAACAGAAAACAAAAGTATAAAATCTATCAGCATCTGTTCAACTTTTTTTTTTCCCACAAAAAAACATCCCTCATCCCAAATTGTACACGATCTTTTCGACTAACGGTCAACTGTTTTGGTAAATGTACTACTGTTTTGCCAAGATTACTGAGTTTCGTAGCATACTTACCGCGCTATGCAAACAAGTTGCATAATTCTTTTTTTTAAGATATTCATATTGAAAATTTTCAAGAAATGGGCAATGTGACATTCTAGATAAAACTACAAGCACATACTCTTTTATTTCTAATGCTTGTCTGCGAAAATGTGTAATAAACAAGTCACTTGGTTTGTCACAAATTAACAAAACAACAATAACATTCGATGAGGTTGGACTAAGATATCGTTGAAGAAATTGTTTATCGAATTCTTCAAAATTTATTGTAGGTTGAACAGAAGTACTCATCTTTTCGTATGAACTGCAATGGAAAAAAAAAGGTTCAAAAATAAAAGAAAACATTTATAATCAAGCAACATCCTTACGTTCGTTTTATATCAGATGCTGGCGATGAATTCTGATTTTGTTGTTCTTCAGTGTCATTTCCAGATGTGGTACTGTCACGACGATGTTTCTGTTGTCTTTTCTCCGTACGATCGAATCTATATGAGCATAGGTCATTAGTTAATTTGTAACATAACATTTTTGAAATTTTCTCACCGTCTTCGTTCAGTAGAATTATTATTATCTTGTCTCGTATAGTATATCATTATTATCACAAACGCAATAAACATCCAAAATTGATAGTAAAACAAATAAACAAAACTAAAATCAAACATGACTAATTTGAAAGAAAATCATTCACACGCACACACTGAGAACGGTTCGAAAGGTAAGAAGATAGGAGAGACAATAAAGAATCCCGCACACTACAACGAGATAGTTTTTCTAACAAGAGCGAATGGGG